GTTCTTGAGTACTACACTTTGATTAACCTTATGGTGTCCCGGATAATAGGCTGCAGTGATTTTTCAGCAGCGGAAGATACGGTATACATTTTTGTTTCTTTCTGTTGCCCTCACAATTACCAGAAAAATCCTCTGGGCAAATAATTGTTCAATTAGATAATTGTTCAGTTAGAACATTCTTCATCGTATTTCTGTGAATATTTATCAGTATTTTTTAATATCTAATTTTGTACAGTGGGTGCAAATGAAGACAATCTGATTTTTTTTTTTTTTTAGTTTTTAAAATTTTACTTTTTAAATAAATGCTTATAGAATTACCTTTTACCCTTGATGGGAATGTATCTTTAAGAAATACCTAAAAGGTGGTGTTTTCGGTTTTCTCTGGAATCAGTGAAATATCATGATCTACTCTGAATATGTGTATGTATATAAACCCGGGAATGTTTTCTTTTTTTGCCTTTTAATGCTGCTGCTTTTGCATTTTCCTGGTGTCTTCATTAGGAGCTCCGTCATCTGAATGTTGAACATCTAATGTGCGTCTCACATGGTTACAGCCTCTTACTGATCATTTCCATTCCTTTGCCTTTTCTATTTAGCTGTAGGGAAAGCTTCAAAAGCTCCCCTTCTCAGATGATAAATTCAATTTTCTGCATTTTTCAAATCTGTGTTATTGCATCTGAAACCACTTTAAATTCCTTACTTTTAATACTGCAGGATCTTCTTCCATCTCAGTCTTATTTCATTACAAAACAACAAAGGCTCTGCTTTTCTTGACGATTGTGAGCTCCAAAGTCATTTTGTATAAAGGGTACTTCAATATTCTATGGTAAATACTCTTCAAAGGTATGTTATTCCTCTACTTCTTGAATGTCTTTCTGAATTTCCTTCTGTTACTCTGCAGCTTTTATTGGTAGGTCCTATTCTCCCTCTGTTTTTGTTTATTTACATATCCTTCACTGTGGGCGGCCTTTTTTGCATTGGCGTTGCATGTTACCATCTGACCCAGCATCCCCGGGGGTCGGTGAGGATGCTTCGGGGTGTTGACATGCCCAGCAGGGGAGATCCCTTGCCCCAAGATGCCTTCTGTGAGTTGGGTGCAGGGGCCGCATGGGCACTGGTTTCCTGTAGGTGGTTTTAGATTTGGACTCATTCCAGGAGCACAGTGTGGCTATGTCAGACCTTCTGCCCCATCACTGTCTCTGTTAGGGAAGAACAGCATTAGCAAGATGCCTTGGTGGTTTAGGTCTTTCTGTGCAGCGCAGCGCCCCCTATGCTTGGGTCTCTGATTCAGCTGATGGCAAAGCTGGTTGGCTCCCAGCATTGGAAATATTGTCAGGTGTGGGAGCACCCACATGGCCCATGGCCTTTGCTCTTACTGATATCAGGGTAGATTTGTCAGCTGCCTAGATATCAGATATCTTACAGATGATCTACTCAGCTGACAATTATTTTCTTTCTATGACAATATCATGCTGAGGATTGCCAGATTTGGGAAATAAAACACAAGATGCCTAGTTACATTTGAATTTCAGAAAAACACAATTTTAAAATATTTATTTTTAATTATTAGCATGCCCTATGGAATATTTCTGTTTACTGGAAATCAAAACATAATTAGGTGTTTGTGTTTTGTCTGGCAGCCCTAATCATTCTGTTTTCTATGTGAGGTATTTGAGTCCCTTGTGACTCCCAGTAATTCTTGCAGTCTATGGCATGCAGGTTGTACCTAATTTTCAGCATGAATGTAGATTTTTTTTGCCTATTACCATATTCTATTAGTTATTGCTTTTGAGTCCACATAGGGGAAAATTGAGAGTCTTGTGCTCAAATTGCCTTCTCATATTTTTTAAAAAAGTATTATTCAGGGAAAAAAATGATCCTTTCGAAAATGTTAAAATTAATACAAAATCTCTCCCAGACCACTGAGTTGCTTCAAGATGTGAACATGCCACTCTCCCTCAAGTAAGAATTACAGCCATGGCACCCAATCAAAAAGTAATTTTTGTCCTTAGCAAATTATTAACTGACATTTACTGTGTATGGCTTCTTTGTTATTTAACACTTTGCTAATTTTTATGTTAAATATAAATGGTGTCCTTTAGTGATAGTAACCACTCCTGTAGGGATGAGAGGATAATGAGTTTTATGATGCATTCTGTGCATCGTGGAATAAATTGGCATTATTTTTGTAGTATTATTAAAAAAAAAGGAAGTGACACTAGCTTGAGGTCGATATGGAGCAATTTTAAGCAATAAACATTTAGGTCCGATACCAGGCAAAATGACTAATAGACCATTTGTGGAATAAAGCTAAGAAGTTACTTGCCTTCAAATGACGTCCGCAGTGACCCCTGATTGCCTTATTGCTTTCCTGAATAAAATCGGAGGACCCAATGTCGTTGCTCTTGGAATGTGTAATTAGCTGTGCAATTAAGTTTTGTGGCCTCAAGTAGTCGGGGTCAGATGTTCAACAGGGAAGTTCACAGAACCTTGGTATCTGGCATTAATGTTTAACCATCTGTAATTTGGTTGTCTGGCTTTGGCTGTTTCTAGCACGAATGGCAAAAGAGTGCTGAGGCAGCTCAAGGTACTTGTTCTAAGTGGTGCCAAGATGTGTTTTTAACAATAGGGCATGCTGTATCATTGATGTAGGTCTAATAGGAGTCTCGTTACACGGAGAGGCCCATCTTCCTTAGTCCCATATCACCAGGATTACATGGAACTCTTAATGGGACAAAAGGATCCAGGATTCTGATTACCGGGATGGAAGCGAAGAGGACAGTGAATAACATCCTAGCGTAAAAACAGAATCTGCTCTTTGTAACATAAAAAGCATAATATACTTGTTGATTCATTCATTCACGTGTTTATCAAATGTTTACTGAGTACCTGATATTTACCAGGCACTCTCTTAAAGCCTGTGAATACAGCGGAGAAAAAAGCCCTGTGTATCATTTCTGCTCCCTGCCTTATCCCACACCGGAGTGCACAGAGAATTACAGCAAAGCATAACGTGTTTTGATGCAGGAAGTTAGGGATGCTACAGAAAAACCCAGATGGAGAACATAACCCAGAATCATACAGTCAAGGAAAGGATCCTGGCAAGGTGACTTTGATACTGCAGCCAGAGAGGTCACAGAAATGTGGCTAGGCAAATGGGGAGAGGGTACCGAGAGAGCGGATGAACAATTCTCTGCCTCTTCTTTGTTTTTCCTATAACTTACCTGTGAAAATACAAGTTTAGAGATAATATAAATCAGGAGTTATTTCCATAAAGTTAAAACATGTAATCTTTTTAAGGCATGAAGTCCCTTTTTAGATCTATGATATTTTGATTTTTGAAAACAAAAATCCATATTTATGACATTGAACCCCAGGAAATTGTCCTTTGGGTGGGTGCAGGCTGCTTACTTATAAGCAGTCTCAAATGGTTCAGCCCAAGACAAGCCTTTAATTGTTTAAATGGAAGCTCAGCCTGCTCCGAGTTTGGTAATGCCGTTGATTGGAGAGATTTTTTCATCCAGGGCCTTCTGTAAACTCAGGTTGAATACATCTGTTGAACTTCTTGTCTAGAAGGTAAATTGGATGCAGCCTGACACCCTGCGGTATCGCAGCTGGGCTGGGGCTACAGCGCTCCAGTCAGCCCCCTCGTGCTACCAGTGGGTCCACGGGAAGCAAGGAGGGTCAGTGACCTGCTCCGTGGTCTCGCGAAGCCAGGAGCAGGACCCCCGCCTCCGAGCTCTTGGCTCTCTCAGCTGCTGGCAGACGACTGCCAAGACGGGTCCTGACTCGGGTAGGCATCATGCTTCCAAATGTGTGTTTGCGTGGGCCTTTGAGAAAGGTGACGCCATGAGTGTCCGAGTCATCAAAGATAATTACATGGTGACTGACGAGAAGGGCTTCAGCGTAACTTGTGGAGCTTTGCCTAGAAAGTCAGCGTTCCCGGAGCCAATAGTTTCCATTTCTAAAACTCCTTAAATTGGTTCTTTGGATTATGCAATTGCTCTGCCTGCATTTTTCTTACAGAATGTAAGGCCACCTGTAAAAATAACATTTTGGATTTTTCTTCCCCTGGGGGAGAGAGACGTTCAGTGCGGAAAAATGAACAATGGTTTTTGTTTGTTGCTGACCGCGTAGTGTCCACAGGATGTGGCTGGGATGGAAGCGGGGTGCTGCCCTTGCTTCTTAGGTTCTAGGGTCCAGTGTTTCACAGATGACTTGGAGCATGTGCTTTGTACACCTGGCCCTGGCACACTGGTGTTGTGGTCACATCATCTCATCTGTTTCTGGAGGGCCCCTCCCAATATATCCTTCCAAGGTCTTTTCTCTGCATCTCTCCCCTTAACTCCAAGTGGGGGCAGGTGTACACTGTGTGATTTATGATTGTGCAGCTGCATCTATTTTTGCCTCAAGTCTGTTACCATCTCCCATTGGACATGTCCTTAAATGCAGCACGTGTGTATGGGTGGAACACACACACACACACACACACACACACAAAGAATCTGTATTAGGTGAAATGTGGACATAGCATTGATCCATGTGTTGAGAAAGTCGTTCCTGTTTTTACCAGTCTCAGTCTGTGTTGATTCAATGGCACGGTGCCTCTCTGTCGATGCTAGCTTGTTTGTGACAGCTTTCTAACACTTGCTCATTTCTCCTTTTATCAAAAAAAAAAAAGTAAGTCTTTACCATAACCCCATAAAAACACCATTACCACGAGTTGAAATTTTAAAACTTCATTTGAATTATATTTATTTGCATGCTCAACTTTTTTATAGGTTAAATGATACTGGTTTTCTACTTAGGTTGGTGGCATTTATTTCTTCTAAAACAAATAATATGAAGCGAGTAGATTGGATTGAGAGGTTTGGGTAAGGAATTGCATAATTGGCATGAAGACAGGGTCCTCTGTGATGCAGGGGCCACGCAGGTGTCTGAAATACGGGTAACAGGACCTTAGCATTACTAACACCTGCACTGCGATTCCCTCCCCACAGTGACGGAAGGTCGAGGGATCCTTGAGAGCATCCAGAGGTTTTCCTTGCTGCCCACCTACCTCCCCGTGACCTACCACATCAACAACGCGGACGTCTCCTTCTTCCTGAAGGAGGCCAACCAGGATATCATGAGGAACTCCAGCCTGCAGTCCCGGGTGGAGTCATTTCTGATCTACAAATCCAAGAGGCTGCCTGTGCTCAATGCCAGCTACGGGCCTTTCTCCATCGAGCAAGTGGTGCCCCAGGATTTAATGCTACCTTCCAACCCGTTTGGATTCACCAACAAATTTTCTCTTAACTGGAAACTGAAAGCCCACATCCTGCGGGACAGAGTCTACCTGAGCCGGCCCAGAGTGCAGGTTCTGTTCCACATCGTGGGCAGAGACTGGGACGACCGCAGCGCCGGGGAGAAGCTGCCGTGCCTGAGGCTCTTTGCTTTCCGAGAGACCAGAGAGGTGCGGGGCAGCTGCCGGCTGAAGGGGGACCTGGGGCTGTGTGTGGCCGAGCTGGAGCTCCTGTCCAGCTGGTTCAGCCCCCCCACGGTGGTTGCCGGCAGGAAGAAGGCCGTGGACCAGCCGGAGGGGACCCCCGTGGAGCTCTACTACACCGTGCACCCAGGGGCTGAGCGAGGGGACTGTGTCAGGGAGGATGCGAGGAAAAGCAATGGGATCCGGACAGGCCACAGTGACATGGATGAGTCCGGGCCCCCCTTGCAGAGGATCGGGAGCATCTTCCTTTACCAGACGCACAGGAAGCCTTCCCTGAGAGAACTGCGCCTGGACAGCAGCGTGGCCATCCACTACATACCAAAGACCGTGAGGAAAGGAGACGTGCTGACTTTCCCCGTTTCCATCTCCAGAAATTCCACTGAAGATCGCTTCACGCTGAGGTAAGTCGTTTCCCCATGTCTGTCTGTACCCGCCCGTCGATCAGGATCAGGTGGTGTTTTCGAGCAGCTGTTTGGCCAGATGAGTTGTGTTATCACTCGCCAAAGTGGAGCCGGCCTTCCCGTTTTTACAAACTCCACCTGCACTGTGGAGATCAGTCTGATCTTTCCGGGTTGGCAATTTGGTTGTGAGAATATTCGTCTTCGTAGATCTTCCAGGCCATCGATAGGGCAGTCAGGGAGATGCTGATGGTAATGCCTTTTGCCGTAGCTTCGGGTATTATCAGCAAGTTTGGGGAATGCTAAAGTTATCCAAGAAGCCTTTTCAAAATTGGAGAGTTAAATGCCTCCCAGCTGAAATGAGATTGCAAATGAAATGGCAACAGTTGTCAGAAAGGACAGAGAACAGGGTTTTGCCAACTCAAAATCTATTCCAGATATGTAAGTTCTAAGTATAATATGGTACCAACCTCAAAGTTACCATTTTGTGTCTCCCTGGAAATAGAACTTGGTGTTCAAAAAAATAAATGAGCATAATGTGTGAAGAATATACAGTAGAATTTGTTGAGTTTCTTATGTAAGAATATACCAAAGACAAGACATTGAAAATAAGCTCTGTGTACTTTAGAATAAATATGGGCTGCTTTTCACTTTGGAATATAATGTGTGAGGGAAGCTACTTGCCTAGGCTTGATTGTATTTTCATTATATAGTTTTAGTTTTATTTTCACCACAGGCAAGTTTGATTATAACAGCTGTTTAGTAGAAGTGTTACTGGGTTATGAAAAATGTCCTAGCACTGCTGTATAACTCAACAATTTGACCCAATGTGCAATGTAGTAAAATGTGTGTTATGACTTCCGAAATTAGGAGCGCAACTGTATGTAAGATATATTTCATATGTGGGCTTACAAAGTTCATCCAATAATGAGCAGCTGTCTATCCCCCTTCCTATGGGATTTATGGTTGCCTTCTCTAGCTTTTCTTCTATTTTTTCTATCCTTTCTCCCTCTTTCTCCCTCTCTTCTCCCCCCTCCCCCTCCTC